AGCTGGTTATGATTTCTTTGGTTGGTTTTATGAGGAGGTGTGTGATGAGAAGGAGTAATTCTGGATGGATAGGCTGGGTGTGGTAACTAAGGGACTTGATGAAGCAAAAAAGGACATTGAAAAAGTGACAATGGAGAATGAAGAATTAGAGAAAAAGTTGATGAAACTTGAAAGTGAAATGAAGAATATCATGAAGTGGAAAAAAAATTTTGAATTTGATGTTTGTGATGATTATCATTGTATTAGTTGTTAGAATTAGTTAGGGTATTAAGGTTTGTTTGGAAGTAGTATGTTATGGTTTGTTTGTAAGAATTAAGTTAACTTTTGGTTGTAAGAATTAGGTTTAAGTTCAGTTAAAGTTTTTATCAGTTTTGGATTGTATCAGTTCAACATGAATGTAATAGTTGGATTTTAATCCTGCAGTGGATTTTAATTTTACTTTTTGCAGTTCAACATGAATGTATCAATTTTAGTTTTGAATTGTATCAGTTCCACATGAATATAATAGTTAAAGATTATGTTAACTTGGTCTGCATTGTTAAATATCCTGTCAAAGTGTTTTTAACTTGGTATGCATTGTTAAAGATTATGTTATTTTGTCTGATGAAGATTAGCTTGATTTTAACACACAATGTTATATTTGGTATGTTCTACTTTTATGTTTACCCGGTCTATTATAGAACTGTCAAAATTGGTCTGCATTTTTTACACCACATTATGACAGGTCCATAAACATTATGACTTATAAGTTGGCTCTGCTTTTAACATAAAGTTCATAACATGTTCATAAATAGGTTCTGCTTTTAACACAACTGATACATTTCATAACAGGTCAATTTCATAATACAAACTGATACACATGTTCCACAAAATACATAGTCATTCCACACATGTTTTAAACAACAGCAGGATACATAAACTTATAATACACATGTTCCAAACAACAACAAAAAACATAAACTAATTATACATCAAAATACATAATGTGATTCCACATGACATGATAGCCTAATTATATCTAGAGTTTCTTCTTTGGCGTGGTCCTCTTTGTTGGAGTATATCTCCTTGTTACTGGGCCAACAACATTCTTGGTAGCACTCAACCTAGTTGTAGGCCCAGGTGGTACAAAAGGTCTTATTGGCTTCCTAACAGAAAGCTTTTGTGTCTTGCCCTTAGCAGGTCCATGTGTCTTATAAGCAGCCTTTCCCTTAGAAGTCTGAGATGTTTGGATAGATTGTTGAGTAGAAGTTCCCTTAGCACTGTGTGTTGCTTTGTTCTGAGAGGTTTGGCTTGGTTGTTGAGTAGGCTGAGTTGTTGGAGTAGGAGTGTGTTGGGCTGATTGTTGAGCAGTCTGAGTTGGAGTATGAGAGGGTTGGGCTGATTGTTGAGTAGTTTGAGTTGTTGTATCCTTACATGTAGACTTGTAATGTTCTGCTTTCTTACACCTACTACACTTCACCATAAAACTTGTTCTTCTCAATTTGCGATCAGACCCATCAATTTCACCTTGTTCTAGGGTCCTCTTCTTTTTAGGTCTACCTGACATCTTCCTGAACTTGGGTGGTTGCACATCTGAATATGGTGTCTTAACCCACAAGTTTGATCCATTAACAGGGTAGATCACATGCTTATAAGTTGCCTTGTACCTTGAAACCCTATAATAATCTGGAATGTAAGTATCAATTTTGAAATTTCTACTCTTCATAGCAAACAAAGCATGAACACATGAGAGTCCTGTGAGTTCCCATCTTCTACATGAACATATATGATCTTTCAGGTTCACAACAGATTTGTCAGCTTGATTTTCCAAGTACCTTACTTCAAATATATGTTCATTAGACATCCTAAATAATTAAACAAACATAATATATTAGTCACATGTATGTTATAGACATCCTAAAGAATTAATGTATGTTGATATTACATACCTTACTAGCCAGTTGTTGGTGCATGTGCTTGTGATGTCAAGTTTCTTTCTAATATTGGGCAATATATCATTCTCATCCAAAGTACCAAATCTCATTCTGTTATTTGCCCATCTCTCCAAACTTGTCTTTTGTTAGTCTGAGATGAAGGTGTAAGTCAGGCATTCATCTTTGCCTCCAAGGTCATCAATTAACAACTCTAAAAACCAAGTCCAACTATCCTTGTTTTCACTCTCCACAACTACATATGCTATGGGAAGCATCTGGTCATTAGGATCCCTCCCAATGGCATCCAGAATCTTCCCTCCACACAACCCCTTCAGAAAATGCCCATCTAGACATATTACATGCCTGCACAACTTAAAGATTTCCTTACATGCAACATAGCATATGTAAAGCCTTCTAAAATATGGTCTTTCATCCTCAACACCTTGTACAGGCTCAACATTGAGCTTAATTGTTGACCCTGGATTGGCTCTTAACAATTCATGACAGTAGTCATAGACCCTTGTGTAATCTCCCAAAAAGGAATCATCAACATAATTTCTAGTTGCAAATCTTGCTCTTATAGCTTTGGTTTTGTTGACCCAACATTCCACTTTTTTGTGCCTTCTCCTTGATATCCTTTATACTCAACCTTGAATTGTTTTTCAAGCTATTTTGAATTCTTTTACTCAACCACTTTGTACTCATCAGCTTTACATTATACTCTCTACTACAACTGCATTTGTCAATTACTTTTCTGAGCTGCCAAGTGTCTTCATTTGACAACTTGTTACAATAAGCCTCCCACTCACAACCAACTTTACATCTAACCCTTACCCTAACTCTGTCATTTTTTACAAACCTTAGGTCCCTACCATTTTGCACAACATAAGTTGTTATTGCTTCCCTAAAATCACCCTTTGAACTAAATTACATTCTCACATCCCACTTGTAATCTGACATGTCTTTTGGCTGTTTGAAAATTAGATGCTTTTTTCTTAGAACTCCACTATTATCATCACTGTCACAGCCACTTTGCATGTCCTCACTGTCATTGTCACTCCCTTTATCTTCTAAAGACTTATCATTAAGTTCTTGGACTTCTCCATTACCATCATTTTCATGACCAATTAGGGTATCAAGTTCATCTTCCTCAATCTCATCACGCCCATCAGACTTATCCTCAAAAGCCACATCTTGTGCACTATCATAATTGTAGTCCTCATGTTCACTATCATCAGAAGATAAACTTAAGTCATCATCCATTGCAGGTTTACCCTTTTCAACTCCAACATTACCTTCTTCCCCTGCAGGATTCCCTTGTTCAATTTCAACATTAATTTCCTCAACTCTAACAGTATGTTCATCCACTACAGGATTCCTTTGATCAACTCCAACATTACCTTCCTCCAATCCAGCAGTGGCTTAATCAACTCTAACATCACCTTCCTCCATCACAACAGTGGTTTGTTCAACTTCCACAACTTTATCATGCAATTGACTAAGTAACTCCTCTACCCCATCTACAATTTCAGCAGGGTCCTCATCAACTTCATCAACAACAACATCACAGTAGTCATGTTGAGACAAGGTATGTTCAATATAAATATCAACATTTTGGTGCACCCTATAAAGATCTATAATTTCTAAAGCACTATTGTCATCAACAAGTGCATTCATCACAAATTGAGGGTCCTTGTAAAATATTGTTTCAAACTCCCTATAACCCAAGTCTTTCAATACACCAATTAGCTCAAAATAACTCAATTTGTCTACATCTACTCTTAAATCATCTACTACTCCATTCTCATATACACTACGACCTTCATCGGTGAACTAACCACTATGATGAATTTTGAGAGTTATGTATTCATCTATGATACCTAATCATATCATCTAAATAATTAGAGTTTACACTAAAAAATTTACATAAACCCTAAATCTGAACCTCTAGCAGATATTGCCCTATGAGATTCGTAAACCTTAAATCAGAGAGAAATGAACTAACCTTTTGATAATGTCTCCTTGAATCGTCTTCAATCCTCCGCCCTTAATCCTTCGTGTCTTTAGTGATTCAGAGTTTACCTGTACAAACGTTTTATCTTCTGGGTAATGGAAATCAAGGTCAAAAGGGATTTGTTTTAAGACATTCCATATCCACGTCAGCAACATCAAGTCCACCTGGACAAACGTGACTTTTTTTTCAAACTTTGACTAACGGCAACAAACAGAAGGATAAACGTGACATCATTTTAAAAGTTAGAGGACTAACTTAACACTTTTTAAAGTTAAGGGAACAATCTGAACCCCAAGTTAAAATTAAGGGACAAAAAAAATTATTTTGTCTTATTTTAATCACATGAAAAGTAATACCAACCGGTGGTTGTGATGCATTGAAAATATAAAACATTTTACACTGACAGTGCATAACAATTAATCTATTTAATATATAATTATTTTGAAAAAAATATATAAAACTATAAAATTATTTTTTTAAAATAAGAAAATTAATTTCTACATTCAAACGGAGAATTATCTTTTTTTTTGTCCTTTCATTTATTCTTTTTCCTATTCTTTAAACCGATCCTCTTCTAAACTCAGAAATTTCTTTCACCCATCCTCTCCTCTAAACTTGAAAAGAGTTAGTTCATTTCGAACTTATTTTTCTTAGAAAGTGTAGTGAACCCCGATTCGAATCTCCATTAAAAATAGTGCCAACGTCCAATGTTTGACTGTGTTGAATAAAACTACCAAAAAAATAAATGTCAATTAACTTAACCAATCCATTTTGTTTATTTATCATATGATAAAGTAACAGAACTTACTATAAGAGTACTATAAATTCTAATTACATTTTTAAGGCTGTCACAAAAAAAATAGGGAGATGTGAAATGCATGCCTACATAAGATACTTGCCATAAAATAGTAAATACAAGCATCATAGTTTGCTCCATGTTTTGATAAGTAGAGCCAAACATATAAATTCATGAATAGTAGCAAAAGCTGCAACTAGAAGTATTTCCTATTGGTGAAAGAGACGAGATGTAAAAGCAAAACTGCCATAGAAGTTCAAAGCCAAGAGGAAACCACTCACACAACTTGGTAGTTTTCTGTTGTCAACTGTGTTCTCTGCGCGTATTTCGGAGGATTACCACCCTTAACCGGTATAATATTCGTAACCTGCAAAGAGAAGAGAGAAAAATAATGTAACCAAACCATTTTGATTCCAAATTACATTACATTAATTGCCCCTGATAAAATTGAATACGAAATATAAAACATTCGAACCTTCAGGTCGCTAAATGTATCAGTTGCCATAAAACAAACTGAAATGGGAAAGAATGCTGATGAATCAGCTTGTGGAACAACAAACTCCATTGACCCACTGCCAAATATATTAAGATCAGACAAAACAGATCGGAAAAAATTTAAAGATAGTGATATAGCATAAATTAAATCTTAAAAAATCATTCCTAATTTAGCGTACCTGCGATTTGAATTATCAATCAGAAGTACAGACCACTCCAAAATGGAATTCCTAGAGTCATACCTGCAAAGCCAGTTTTATTAGGGAACTATAGAGTGCACAAGAATGTAAAGTGAGAAATTAAATGATTTAGAACGATGAATATAAGTAAAAATGATGAAAGACATCAACTGATGGTTTTGGGAAAGGATGAGAGGAGTGCTCTGGGAAGGAAAAATTGGTTCCATCAAACAATCTAACACGTGCAAATCTGATAAGCGGTTCAACGCTCCCAAACATGTACCATGTGTAACAGATTCTACTAACCACCAGCTCATTTACAACAGACCTTGACCCAAAAATCACAGTTGCCCCTAACATATGCTCAAAGAAAGAAAAATAACAAATTACACACCTCCATTCTCCATCAGCCTGTTTAACAGATGGTGCATCTCGAAGAGGTGGAAGAGGTACAGAAATCACAACATTCTGTAGATCAAACATTGATGAAGCCTCATATTCAATGCTGACGTAAGTTTCATTTCCAGAAGAAGAGGGCCAACAGTTGACTGCATTAGAAACATATAAAACACTGTCAGTTCCAATAGCATGAAAATAAAGGAGTTGACCACATCAATTATATATATTAACTCACTTGTCACTGGCACCATTGACTCATCGGTGCTTTGCATTCTCCACTTTAAAAGTCCAACACCTGCAGCATCACTGGCTTGACCGGTGGGGAAAGGCCTGTTGGGATCCTTTGGACCTAAAATATGTTCATTGGCAAATAGCTCTTTGTTCATATTAGGGTGTGTCTTGAAAGAGATGGCTTGATTATCACCGGTTTGGACCTGCAAAAACAAGCCACAATATGAAAGTAGCAATACTTCAGTTGTCTTCCAAAGTGATATACGCATTCAAAAAGGGTATTGGGGAGGAGGAAGAATAGGAGCATTTTAGAATGAAAGATGAAAGGAGCACACATCTACAAAGCAAATATAAGTAATGTACAAAACAACTGAAAAATGTAGAGAGAAGACAAATAAAATTGATTGAACAAAATAAATCACTCTTGATCTTTTCTTCATGGGTAAAAAGTAATACCAAATTGGCATCCGAAATGATTGTTTCAGTAAAACCATAAAATACATCACAAATCAAAAGCACCTAAATGCTTTGTTATTGACAAAAAAACTATCACTGTAATCACCTTACAGTTATTTCAAATCTCATTATCTTCCTCTTCAATTTCTTTATTAAGGCCAAATTGAGCAACCCCAACCATATCGGCCTTTTTCCTTTACATTCAGGACCCTCCCTCACCTAGTCCTAGCAGAATAAGGCTTGATTGTTGTAGGGAACAGTAGGAGAAATAACAAGGATTGTAGGGAACACTTTTCAGTTACTAACTGAACTAATGTTAGCTTTAACTGGCTTGGCTGTATTTAGGCTAGGTTAGCTAGGGAAGTTAATAAAAGAAGGGAACAGAAGAGTCTGGGGAGACAGATTGTGTTACTGAAAGTGATATGGAGAGAACCCTGGCCTTTTGAATTGCCGGAAGGAGGAAAAGTTCTTGGCTGCTCCAGTAAATGATGCAATTAAATGAATTAAAAATTTTGCATGCCGGTAACTAATTTAAAATTCAAAATCAAGTCCCAGTTATGCAAACCAGCAGCCACAAGACACAGAGCTTAAGAGATAGTGAGTATGCCATACCTGAACTTGAATATATGCATCTTCTTGGTTAAGAATTTGGAGAGACAATGTGCCTTGAACATCAAAACTACCAACTCCACCATCTCGTTTCAGTGTCACATTTAATTTCTCCTCAACAGTTAAAGTGACAGGATCAGTAAGCGGCGGGGCAGCTGTCCGAGACTGGCTAGGTCTTGGCTGAACATCTTCAACAATGACCTCACCTTCTGCTTTCAATGATTCCAGAAACTGATTTGTCTTTTGAGATTTACCAAGCTTCATACCAAGACCCTTTGGTGGAGCAGTGGCAGATGCAGTTGGACGGCCTAAGGGAGCGAATAGGAAAATACATAAATGAAAAACTTACTCTCTATTCAGATACATGTAAGTATTGACATAAAATAAAGCACTGCCTGGATACTGTATGCTTCATAGCCATTCTAAATGGTTACATTTAAAAGCATGGCTTAAACAGTTTGTTGGTCCCTGTAAGTTAGCGAGGTCACTAACTTACAGGGACCAAAAGTGCATTTAAGCCTAAAAGCATTCTAGAATAATTTGGCAGAATCTATGAAAACCAACCTTTAGGCTTGGTAGAAAAAGAATCAACATCAGTACTCAATCCAAAACCGGAGCCACTTCCAAAGCCAGTTCCAGTGCTAGATATGCTCATATCATTGAAGCTATTTTCAATTTTTCCAGATCCCATTGACGTCAACGGACCAAACCCTCCTTTATCACCTCTATTCTTTTCAATCTGAACAATATATTATGTTCAATAAAATTATGAGCGATCCCAGTCTTTAAAGTTAAAACATAAGAAATTTACTCTCTCCGTCCTAAAATAACCGACTCAGTTGAATATACTGAATTGAGAGTGATGTAATTCAAGTAGTGATTCATTTTGGGACAAATTTGTTTTACAAATAGATTTAGGACGGAGGGAGTAATGAATAGTAGTCCCTGCAATCATACCTTGCTCTTATCAATCTCACTTGCTTTCCGCTTCATAACATCCTTAGTTTCATTGATCTTGCTCTGCATAACCAGCTTGTGCAGCTTCTCTTCCTGACTTTCCATCTCACAGTATTGTTTAACTTGTGCAACAGTCACATTCTCCTTGTGCCCAAGAGAGATGACTTCATCAAACGCAAAAATCAGCTCAAAGGCATGTTTGCAGATACCCTCTTCGTCAAGGGAATAAGAATATTCAGGGACCTATGAATATTCAGTAATGAATCTAAGAAAACATTTTGACAAAAGTTTGATCCAAGGACTTAACAACTGATTCAAAAAGATGATATACCTCCCACAAAAAATCCATTTCATCAATCATAAACCTTCCTATAAAATTAAATCTACTAAACACCATGTTTAAATGAAGAAGTGGAACTTATGCATCTGATAACTGTACCATCAAAACCCGATAGAAACACCAATATGACAGAAAATTGAGCAGACAGGCACAAAAATTCTAGATTCAGGCCAGCAAGTCATACCAAGTTAATGACAAAACTAATAATGCTCCTAACAAGATAAGAAGACCAATCAATTGAAAATAAATGGATTTGAGAAAAAGTACAAGTTTGGAGAGAAGTCTCAGAGTATCCAAATCTTCCAGTATGTTACTTTGTTTGTTTGTCACAAGAAGCAGGTAAAGAGCTTCTATTGGCTGGTAAACATAGCGCACGTTCTCAGTCTCAAAATATGTGTGTTGTTTCCCGGTGCCTATTAACTTGGGAAATGCTGCTAGAAGTCCCTCAATTCTTATACGAGACATCTCCACAAACTGTCTAGAAACTAGAACTGTAAACAAAAAGCAAAAGATTTATTGGCATATGGTATGGGTGTTGAATCCATAATTAATAATTACTTAGGCACCATCAAATAAAACACCAATCCAGGACTAAGCTTTCTTTTATAAACTAAAAAGTTATCCTGAATGCCAAAGGATAAATTCAGGACTACAACTAAAAGTTACGTCTCAAGAGCTATATATTTTAATATGCTTCTCTTCCCTTTAGTGAGATTGCAGTTTACTGAAGTACATTACAAAAACAAAAAAGTGAGCTAGCTAGACATAAACTACCAATGTTAATTGTTCTAGAATTAAGGATAAAAGAGCACAGGTGAGTGGTGGAATGCAAGGAACTCACCTTTACCAGATTTACCGACAATGGATGCGGCAAGAACGACCTGTAAAACAAAAAAACAATTGAAGAAAAAAACTAATGGTGGTACAAAGAGAAAATCAAGAACATATAGGAAACTTCTATTTTTCCGAATCCAAAGATGCTTGTTTTTCTAGTGTACTAAACAACACAAGCTTTGTCAAGAATTCTTGGCTTAATACTTTTCTCATTATTATTTCTCGTATATATAGAGGTTACAGGGCTATATTGGTAATTACACTAAATAATTACATTTTAATGAGCTTATGGCCTTTAAACAAACCCTGCCCCACCCTCGCCTAACTGACAAGCAACGTATTCATGTAAAAGAGCCAAAATCCCGCCATTCCAGCCACTTTGCAGCGCTGGTATAGCAGATTATGGTGGAAAAACCAGCAATATCGGCCGATATTTACCGTTGCGGTGGGTCGCCATATCGGATATTTGATAACACTGAAATTACATAACTAAATGCGATAAAAGAAAATCAAACATTAACCGCATAAGCTTGCACCTGAAGATCCAAAATTATGAGTAATCTTGAAGAAAAATAAAGCTAGAACCTTATGAAGATAAATTTCATCTAACACAAGATTTCAATTTTAAAACAGGGCAGCATATTTGAAGCACCGACACCGACACTTGCGATTACATTCAATTGATTCGCTTATTTAAATTATTACTTGTGTCGACGCGTCAGTGTCCGGTGGCCATGCTTCATAGACAGCATATACATTAGGAAATTCCCACCAGATCTTATAACTCTACATACATATAACAAAATTGGAATTGCTACATACTACATTATCAGAATTATTGCATAAACATCAATACAATACATGAATAAACAATAAATACTGAAATCAAGAGGGGGAAAAATGAAGAATGAATGTGAAATGGTTTCTTAAGCAATGCAAAAGACGAGCAAGTTCTGAAATATCAAACAAGCGGTGAGTTACCATTTTGTTGGATTAATAATTGAAATGAAGAAAATTCTTGTTCTAGAGTTGAATTGAATCTGCGAAAAATCAATAGCGGTGTCAGTTACGAGATCTCAAAGACAAGTATGCGACGAAGTGATGCAGAGAGAGCTTACCAATACAGGATCTAAGATTTGGAAAGGGGATCTGATATGAATCGCAGAGAGAGAGAGAGAGAGAGAGAGAGAGAGAGAGAGAGAGAGAGAGAGAGAGAGAGAGAGAGAGAGAGAGATGAGTTAGCGTCAGCGAGACGAAAAGAGAAGGAGGATATGGAAATTCAATATTTTTCCAATTTTCTTTTTATATAATTATTTTTAAATTGACACTGTGACAGTAAAAGCTTAAATATGGAAAATTATTTTTCAGTGACATATGTGTTCAGTTTAAATAAAAGCAATTAAATCAATTTTAATTTTGTTGTCAGACTTTGAAAGTTAGTCGAAAATATGATAATTGATAATCCCCAACGATAATTTATTTGTCTTTAAGTAATCATATGGAGGGAAAAAAACTACTTTAAAACAATGTTAAATAAGATGTTTGGTTTAATCTTATAAATTTAATAAATGTATACAAATAATAAAAAAATAAAAAATAATTAAAGTGTGAAAAATAATTTAACTGATTTGATGTATAAAAAAATATTAATATTAATTTTTACGGATGAAATTACATATTTTAAACATAATTTTTTAAAAAATATTTTACTATTATTTTACTATGTTATACATACTATTATTTTATTATGTTATACATATTATTTAAAGAAAATTAATATGTCTTAGCGAGATATATTATTAATTAATAATATAAAATTAATTTACCTTCTCTATGCATCATTCTTTTTCTCTTCAAACATATATTTTTTATATTGTAACTTTCTTTATCTTACTTTTAAGTTAAATTGACGTTTCTAATTTTGGTGAGGCAAAGAGAATATGAATATATACACCTGTTCGGAAATTTGTTAAGGCTAAGAGAATATAAATTATATAATTTTTTGAGAATTTTTTATGCTATCCTAGGTTTCTACTATATCATTTTTTTTTACAAATATCTTTTATTTTTAGAGATATATTTTCAGACGTACTCAAATGTAAGTTAACATTAAAATATTTTAGAAATTTATTTTCGTAATATTTTGGAGTATAAGTTGTGTTAGACTATTCTCCTTACTCATTTCACAGTATCTCAAACTCAACTCAACCGCTTTCAATACACTCTACACCAAATCAAATTTTATCAAACAAGGCTCAAGGGAACATCAATCTTCATTGTAACATCATCTAACTTCATCAAAAACATCAATTTCAAGTAAGTTTTCGATAAATGTTTGACTTTTAGTGTAAATGAGTAAAAATCAATTATTATGATTAGAAATGAGTCGAAATCACATCTAACATAGTTTAGACATAGTGTATAAGTTATTTGTTGGCTGAAAATGATGATAAGAACAAATTTTTTGATCTTGCATGTGATACATTACGTCATTGACGCAACTTTTGAGTTGCAGAAAATTTTGGAGTTGCATCTCCGAAATTGTTCAGCGTTTCTTATTCTGCAGAAAATTCTGGAGATGTATCTCCGAAATTTTTAAAGGTTTTAGTTTTCTGGTGATTTCGGAGATGCATTTCTGGAATTTCCTGTAGTATTTTTTTATTTCCTTGCTTGTGTGTTGTTTGCGAGCACTAATTATATGCCTTACTTTAACTTACATGCATAATGGCTAAGAGACATGACAGGGTTGCTCAGCACGCATCCATTTGGCGGGAGCAGAGCCAGGAAGTTCTAGAGGCTCCAGGTTCCTCTGGTCAGACAGAGCCGTCTACTTCTAGGACTCGTGCTTCTCCTTATGTCATTCCATCTTCTTCATCCCATAGGATGCGGGAGTCACCATCTAATGCATCACTTCCCTCATTCTCCCAGAAGCGTCAGGATTCACTAGTGCCACCTCCTAATGATATTGTTGGTCTAGTGCCACCTCCAGAGGGTGAGGCTGTTGCAGATGTCGAGCCAGAGGCTTTTGGAAGAGGTCCAGTTGATTTGTCCTTACTGCCTCTATATACATACCATACTGCCAAACATATTTGAGACAGCGAGGTAGCATTAGTTGGATTTTGATTTATTTTTTACGTTAATTTTAATTTATGGTATTTCTGATAAATTTCAGGAGCGTGATCCCCAGAAGTTTCCTAACCACGAGAGGAAGATTGATGTGTTGCCTCAGTCGAATAAGGATTGATTTCAGTCGGTTTTATCTGTATCTGGCTTAAAGGACTTGTTTGTGACCGGTTACACTACAATCAACCACGAAATGCTTAATGCGTTCGTGGAGAGATGACACTCGAAGACCTCTTTGTTTTATCTCCCGCATGACGAGATGTCTATCACACTAGACGATGTTTCCTGATTGCTACATATTTCGATCAGGGGGAAATTCCTAGATCATGGGAGGATTACCAAACATGAGGCACTCGAGATGATGGTAGAGTGTCTTAGGTCTTATCCAGTGGAGGAGATAGAGGAGTTGGATAATATCAGAGGTGCTCATGCTAGATTTGAATTCTTGAAGAAGTTATATGAGGCTGAGATCCTGAGTGCACAGACAATTAATGGTGATGCTGAGCAGGTGGAACTCCATAGATCGCATGCATTAAGAGCATACCTGTTTTATTTGGTTGGCACTGTGATTTTTATGGACAATAGTGTCACTTATACGAATGTCATTTACCTACGGTACTTCATGGATTTCGAGTGGATCCATGAGTACAATTAGGGGTGACTTGTTTGGTCTACCTGTATTCGAAGTTGAGAAAGGGTTGAATGTGGAAGATGAAGTAGGTCACCGATAGCATGACAGTACTGACGATAATAATTATTTGTATTTAAATGTTTTTTATCATTTTCATTTCATATTTTCAAAATCATTACTGATGACTCGTATGTTCCAAACTTCTTATTTCAGGCTTGGATCCTCCAGCACATCCCTCGCATCTCCAGCTGGGCGAGTATGCCTGAGTATACTAAGTGTCGCTACTGCGAAAATCGGCGTCGGATGACAGAAGAGTCGCCACCGTGCGTTATTTATCCCAACGGAGGGAAAGGAAACGCTCGAAGTAAACCTCGAAAAAAATGGGGAAAGGTATGGTCATCGCAACCAAAACCTGGGTTCGGGAGTCGGTTACGCAAGGGGAAGGTATTAGCACCCCTCACGTCCGTCGTACTCGACGGGATCCACGCTTGCTTGGGTTGTCTAAAGGATGCAAAAACAATCTATCTACGGCTGCTAAATCTAAACGGAAGGGAATTGACTCGATAGAGCATCGCACTCCATGCCTACGTATTCTCAAGAGAGAAAGTCAGAGTCAACGTAGTTCAGGACTACAGGGAAATTGGCTCGCCAAGACCTCGCGTCTTGTGCCTACGTACTTCCACACTGCATGGAAGATCAGAGCTGACGTAGTTCAGGCTAACTACGGCTAAACTGGGAGTTCTCACACAGCAGCGAGAAATCAAACTGGTTTTACAGGTTCGGGAACCTATAAGAAAAACTATGGTCTGATCTCAAATGCATTCGAGCAAGAGAGAAGGGTAACAATTAGTCATCAGCGGGAAAGTCTCGATCGCACAGCAGCGAGAGAACAAGAGGTTAGTTGTTAGTGTGCTCGCTAGGATATCGCATCCTATGCCTACATATTCTCGTCTGGTACGAGAAATCAGAGCAGCTGTAGTTCGGCTACTTCGGGACCACAACTCAAATCTCATTTTATTAACATTTTGAAAAAATGGTTACAATGAGCGAATACTGGAAAAAAAACTCCTAGGAAATACTATCCTATCCTATGAAGAATCAAATGGAAAATAGTCCCCTAACAAGTGGACTTCTAAAACTATCTCTAAAAGGAAAAAACTCTATGAAAAAATGTACTCTAAAAATATTAAATCTACCTTAATATTTTTTCTCTTTTTTCCAAGTATCTCTCTTTTTCAAAATATTTCTATATTTTTTCTCTATTTTTTCATACTATTTTTCACCCTTTTTCTTTTTCTCTTTTATTCAATATCTTTTTTTTTTGATATATTCTTTTTCTTTTCATTTTCTTCAAATATAATCTTTTCTTCTTTTTTTCAATATACTTTTTTAATATTTTTTTCTCATTTCTTATTCAATATTTTTCTCATATCTTTTTTTTTATATATTTCTTTTTCTATTTTTTTCCATACTATAATAAAGCAACAAGAAAAACATATAAGAAAATAGAAAAGAAAAAAAATAAAGGGAGGGGGTATGACTGTTACAGGGGGGAGTTAATCAGCAACAAATAATTCTGAACTGGGCCCAGCCCAAAGCATTAATCCAGAAAAAAAACTGAAACAAGGGGGGCGGATGAAAACGGAGGGTGTATGAGCCAGGCAGATCCGCATTGGGCTCGGGCCCAAGATCTCTCAAAGAAAAAAAAAACGGAGGGGTGTGCGGTTCCAAAAAACGCAGTTGGGCCCCAAGGCCCACGACCTCCCCAGCCTACCTCCCTCCTCACTCTCTCAACTTCCTCTCTGAAAACCCTAGAGGATCTCTTCCTCCCTCTCTCACGGCACCGTCACCTACCTCCGAACTCCCTCTTCTCAAACTCTCTCACTCTCAACCTAACCTTCACCATCATCATGTTGCCAACACCACAAACGAAAGGAACCTATCAACGACCCTAAACTGATACATGCGATGATTATTGGGGATTGGTGATTCATAGATCTGAACGAAGAAGATGTTATTGCTTGCTGATGGCGGATCTTGAATTTGTTAACGTTGCTGTGTTCGATAAGTTCCGATCTGGAGATGTGATGATAGTGGAAGATCTTTGAACTCTTACGAAGAACACGAGGCTCTCGAAGGTAATACAGAGGAATCTGGAAATAGTATGAATGTTCTTGAAGGAGTGATGAACATATGAAGACTGATGAAGCTTTGTACAATTTTCTGGGGA